ACAGTTGTTTTTTTAATCCCAAAAATACTTTGAGAGTGTTATGCAGTTTTTGTATTTAATATTGTTCAGCATCATTTGGTGACATTAAAAACACAGTTTTCACAAGAACATGAATTTCATCACGCTTTAATGGTCAGTAAATTTGCACCTGAAGATTGCATATTTGGATGAAACTCTGGGTTGTGCTATTGACATGGGATATTATACATATTCACTAATATATAAGTGGACATTGAAATCAACACTCTGCAGTGACAGTCTGTTTCAGGTTTAAAATGACTGTCACCACTGGATGTTGACTTCAATGTATATATTTTATATTTACATATGCTCTATCCTAGTATTATGTTTCATTAAAGACAACAGACAAGGTACTATGATTAAAATCTTTATTTAATTTTTCTTGTGTTTGAACAAGTGTTTTCTTTCTGGACACAGAATATGTAGAAACTATCCAATTTTTCTGTAACTCTGAGCACTTTTGGCTATACTTTTAGCCATTATCAAGGATGATTTTATTTTTACTTTTTAACTGGATGTATGAGCTGCTTGTATATTTCTAGAGTTATAGGGATGTTTTATTTTCCACACACAGTGAGTACATTGTGGCCATGTTCATAGTTAATATTATTAAGTATTGGCTTTTTCTTTTTCTTATTAAGGTTTCCATTATTTTAATCTTTTTTTTACATGTGAATGAGGTTATTATGCTTGTATTTTCTACTAGTATGTTTTGGATGGAGTCTGGTAAGTTTGTGTGTGTGTTTAAATGGGTTCTGATGGAGCTGTGGTCAGATAGGTGTAATGTAAGTCATCTGGATAGGCATGTAGTAGTGTGACCAATGTAATTATTTATGAATTTGGTTTGATCAGGAACACAGTTCCTTAAGGGGCATTTGAACTCATAAATAATGTTTGTTCATTGTAATTTTGATTTTGCTGGTGTGTTGTTATTTTTGAGGATAAGGTTAGCTGTTTTAAATTTTTTGTAGTAGATAATTTGATTTTTTTGTTTGGGTCAATTGGGGTAGTGTATTTCTTTATGATATTTCTAAGTGAAGATTCATCTTGTTTATAGTTGATGTGCATTTGGCTTTTGTAGAAAATATTTATATTATTTTTGACTGTGTGTTCACTATTGTTATTATTTACTTTGGAAAGAAATAGTCTAATTTGATGATCAATGAGGTAGTTAAGAAAACCATTGTTAACTAGTGTCTGTTTTGCATTGCCGAGTTCTTTAAAGAAAAGTAGATGAGTGTATGAATTTCTTGTGTGCTCTCTTTAGGAAGTTTTTTTATCACTGCTATTTTGCATCAGAGTGAGCATTCACTCTTAAAATTAAGGTGGCAAGAGTTTCTGCTAGTGGGTTTTTTATATAATGAGGTGGTAAAAGTGTTGTTACTGTATTCTACAATAATGTCTAAGAATGAGAGGCTTTTTGACTAAGTTCGTAGGTAAAGTTAAGGACAGAGTTTTTTTCAAATATAGTCTTGAGATTATCCATTTCTTTTGTGTTTTTTTGCTAAAATATATAAACCATGTCTGGAAGGTACATTGTTCTAAGATGGTAAAATCCTCAGATATGAGTGCTATGTCTGAAAATTTTCATCACGACATCAACACCCTATTATAAAATGCAATTAAAATTTGAACACATTTTCTCTTCATATTTTCCACCTATAAATTTATGTTGGTGGGTGGGATCAAAATAATTAAGTAATCATCTGATGGTTCACAATTGGGCGACATTGAGGCCATTTAAACATTTTTTAATTTTTTATCATTATTACATGTCATTGCATTTGGATGAAACTACTCTTGGTTATTATATTCAGAATGTTTCGGCTGCTGTACCCTACACAGCCTTCTTCAGTTGTCTCTCATACTCAGCCACTGCCTCAGAATTTTGAACTGAGTAAGACCAAATTGTACATTAGTCAAAATATTTTGAGTATAACAATCAAGATGAATTCCTTTGTTTAAATGTAAAAGTAATTTCCATTTTTGGGAACCATTTGTAATGAGTAATTTATCATCGTAGCTACTAATTATACATGGCACTTAAGAATAAATTTTGGTGTACATTAATGTACATTAGATTTTACATCGCAGTGACAGGGTATCCAGTGGATTAAAGATAAAATATTCTCTCTTGAGCCTCTTTTTGGATGAACTTTGGTATAAAAAAAAAAAAAAAAAAAAAAAAAAATTAACAAGAGGAAGATTATGTAACAAATTTCCAAGTGAGAATCGGTTGCCTGCCTTTTTAATCAGGACTTCAGCACTGACCTCTGGCACTAGCTGAAAATACACAATGGAGCTAAAAAATTTTTATTTGTTCAAGATTAATCAACAGAAAAGGACTTATGATTTCATTCAATGATTAGAATATAAGAAAAACAGGCATTTTTTAAACATTTGATCAATTCAGTTGACATTGATTTCAATGACTTCAATTGAATTGAGTTTGATTAATTCAACTGATTCATTCAACTGACTGAATTGAGTTCAACTAATTGATTTGATTTAATTGATTCAAATTGATATAATTGATTATGTTGATTTGGTTTCAAATGATTTAACTCATCTCAATTGATTTAATTTAATCGATTTCAGTTGATTCAATTGATTTATTTCAGTTGATTCAGTTTTAAATGATTTCCATTGATTCAAATGATTTCATTCTAATTGATTCCACTGATTTAATTGATTTTACATTAATGATTTAAGTGAGTTGATTCTAAATTAAATCAGTTAAATCAATTGAATCATTTGAATATGATTTAATAGATTTTAATTGATTTAAATGATTTGATTCTAAAAGATTCAATTTACTCAATTGATTCAAATGATTTAATTCATTTTAATTGATTCAAATATTTTAATTGATTTCAATGATTCAATTGATTCCAACTGAGGAGTATTAGTTTTATTTCATAAGAAAGTAGTAAAAAGACATCTTGACAACTAACACCTGATCAAGCTGTTATTTTATTAAAATCTAAATAATAAGCTTTCTCCCATGTCTTTGGAATAAACAGTTCTAATGATATAATAAAGTCTTACTCACTACATACTATATATATATATATATATATATATATATTATAAAAGACATTTTTATGTTTAACATTCTTTTTATAGATACAAGTATTTAAGTAAATGCTCTGTTTATAATAAACAGTATTAAATAACATTTACAGAATTGAATGTATATAGAAATTTTCATAGAAAATATTCGTCCTTTGACAGGATTCGAACCTGCATCCTATAACGGAACTGTCATTTATGCTGACTTAAATACTTAAATACTTGTATCTATAAAAAGAATGTTAAACATAAAAATGTCTTTAATAAATTGTCGGACTTTGTCCAACTCTTAATATATATATATATATATATATATATATATATATATAGTATGTAGAGAGTAAATGTAATAAATATTAGCTGGCCATCTATTAGGGTGGCTAGCCAATCCCTATTGCAGACACTCCCTCAGGCACATTTGTGTTTGTTCAACACCCACAGAGCCAACATGTGGTTTATAGTGAAGACTTTAGGTACAGTCTCTGGGAGAGAGCGTGTTATCTAATGTGATTAACAATCTGAACAAGGCCAGCACCCTCAAATCCTCAGTCACGATGACTTGTGACTTTGTGCTAGCACAGCTATTGACGGCCCCCAAGTGTTCCATCTACCCAATTTTACTCACGAGGCTTGGGTCAACTCGTAGTATGGTTTTCAGGCACTTTCCAAAGGTGCCACATGTTGGGATCACACCCTCCAGACTGATAACATCAGGAAGTCTATTTCCTGACAGATCAACGTGGTGAGATTCAAACCCTGGTCTCATGGTCAGAAAGTGAATGTTCTAATCACTCAGCCATGTGTCCAATATATGTAGCCAAATATATATAAGTGAACATTGAAGTCAACACTCATAGGTGACAGACTGTTTCATGTTGTACGCAGTCGTCAGGCTGACCTGACAATTGCATTCAGGGTAAAACAGCCTCTGAGTGTTAACTTCAATGTTCACTTTTATATTTACATACACTCTATGACATTGAGCATTTTATCTCATAAATATAGAACACCTTAAAACTATATATATATATATATATATATATATATATATATATGGTTACATGTATACATAAAAGTAAGCACATGTTCAAGCACATTGACTCCAATTAATATACATTTTAAAATAGATTTTATGAATATTAATACAAAAATATAACACATTAATATTCATAGCACCCATCATTAATAACATTTTTTATTTATACACAAATATAATTCAGTATTATAGATCATACTTGATTATTTTATTATGTTTTGTGTATATGTAATTACAAGTATAAGGCTAGGTTGCAAATGCATTATTATATATATATATATATATATATATATATATATATATATATATATATATATATATATCGTCTTAACCCATAAATAAGTTAACATCATGAGAGTTAAGTTTATTCCCTAAGACATTACTTTAATAATATATTTTAATAAGCAGCAATTATTTCTATTACAGCTAACGATGGTTTTTTTTGTTTATACAAAAATGGGAGTTATCCCCTTTGATACATAGCATGTTTATGTAAATTCAAATTTTAAAAAAATTATTTAAAATAATTTTGTTTTTTAATTTTTCATCTTTTAAACTTAAGAATTTGACATATAAATTATAAATAATTAATTCAAGTATTATAGTCAACAATAATAAAATGACTTAACACAATTTTAAATCGACACCATGAGAACAGGAATTTCATAACACTTAACGGTCAGTGGGTATTCTGTACCTGAAGATTGTGTATCCGATTTGTGCTATATCGATGTGGGATATTATGTATATTCACCAATTTTTATATATATATATATATATATATATATATATATATATATATATATATATATACACACACACACAGTCTTTATTATCTCTGAATATAAATGCATATACAGAAGTAGATTTGCTATGATCGCTTTATTTTGTTCTTTATTGAGATGAGAAGAATATTTAAAGGATGAAAAATACTGTTGGAGTGAATAAGGTGAAAGGATAAAGAAGAAAAAAAAGAGAGAGAAAGAAGTCTAGTAAAGTCAATGAAGAAACTGAGGGAAAAAGAATAAAAGTGAGTGAAGATGAAAGGGAAAACAAGGAAGAAACAATAAGGAAAAAGAAGGTCATAAAGAAAGAAGAGAGTGAAAAAGAAGATGAAGAAGCTGAAGAAGCTCAAACAGAAGAAAAGACAAAGAGAAAGAGAATGAAAAAAAGGAAGATTAAATGAAAGACAACTAGAATTTAGAAAATGAGAGTGGATGGAGGAGAGAGTGAAGGGAAATATGACAGAAAGAAGAAAGCAAGATGAAGAAGAAACAAAAATGAAAATATAGAGAAAGAAAGAAAGATAAATAAAACAACAAAATAAATGAAAAAACAACAAGAAACATTTAGAAAAAGAACAGTTAATAAAAGAATAAAGGAAAGGAAGAAAAATGACAGTGAATGAAACTTAGAAAAAGAAAAACTGAGAAAAAAAAAATAGAGACATCAAGTGTGAAATTGGGTAAAAAAACAACACTTTGGAAATTGAATTCAGCAGGAAGGTGAATAAAATAGAAAATTAGATGAAGATAACAACAGTAGTCATAACAAAAAAAAAAAAAAAAAAAAGGAAAAAATCCCGAGACAGTGAATTGAAAAGTCTGTTTATTTCTGGGACGATGCATAGGAGACATCTGGGGAAAGCATTTGCATCTGACTTGGAGTGATCCAGTTCCAAAGAGCACAAAGAGACAGAAAGAAGGAGGCTAAAAAGGAAGAAATTAAAGAGACTTGAATCCCCTGGGGCTCAGCAATACCCACACCCAACTCGAGTACCTACCCCAATCATTCCCACTACCTGACCACCCAACATTAAATCCAAAGAGTCAATAAAATGTTTGTTAAATTTACAGCAGCAAAAATTGGTGTGCAGCTGTCACAACACCAAAATAAAATTAAAAAAAATAAAAAGTGAAAAAAATAAAAAATAAAAATTGGATTTGGACTCAGGAAACTGATGTTAACTTATTTACATCATTTGAACTGTTGTCCTCATTTTGATTGACATATTCACAACATTTCAGCTATTCTACACTCTGGCCTACTTCAGGTGATATATGTTGGAATTTTGAACCGAACCCTTTATTTAGTCCATGGGGACATATTGTTTAAATTCCACATCCTTCAGTTTGAACAATGTAAATTGTGTAAATAGTTACAATAACTCATCTCAGAAATATACACAGATGTGGATGTTAATTTATTATATACTATCTATATTTGAGTGGGGTGCTGAAAAGTTTTCAGCCCAAGACACTTTCAAAAGTCCATATTTCAATGACCAAACATCAGAATCTTTCTTTCTTTTTATGTGCTATGTCCTTTCAGGACGTAGTTGATCATGTCTCTCCACCTCCCTCTATCCCTTGCAGCTCTCAACAAGTTCCTTCCCTCTGCTACCTCCCCCAGACCATGTTCTGTCATCCACTTGCTTAAGTCCGCCAGGTATGTCACACATTGTTTTCCCTTGTCTCTCTTTCCCTCTATTCAACCCATGAGTATCAGATTCTCCAGACCCTCTTTCCTCATGATATATCCCAGAAACTTCAGCTGCCTCTTCCTGATGTTAAGTATAAGCCTCTTACTTGTTTGCATCCTAAAACTGATTGTATTAAGTGAGCAAGGCAAAGAACTCAACATCTCATTATATTTTTGCAGATCTTGTCCTAGCTGAGCTAAAAGCCCTAGTAGACAAAATTCATACATGTAAATGATGTGTCAGTATTAATTGTAGAGGTGAAAGGAAATCGAATAAATTTCAACAAGGCAGAGATGTTTTCATGTGTTTTATAAATGGCAAATAAATGGTTAGCAAGAAAAATAAACTATTTACATTATTCAGACTTTTGTCCTCATCTTTGTTGCCATATTTATCACAACGTTTCAGCTGTTGTATGCTTCAGCCTTCTTCAGGTGGTAGGAATGTCGAATTGAATCTCCATAGAGGAGAACATGACTAAAGACTGTGTGAACGCTAATCCATGCATCTGTGGAAAGAAATATAAAGGGGAGACAGACCGCCCCCTTAAGGTAAGGCTTCAAGAACACCAGAAAGCTGTAATACAAGGGGAAGTGGAAAAATCAGGCGTGGCTGAGCACATATGGAGAGAAAAAGGAGATCACAGCCCTTTGTGGGATCAAGTTGAGATCATAGACAAAGAACATCATTGGAAAATTCGTAAACTTAAGGAATCAGCAGATATGCTAGGCCACAAAAATCTCCTGAGCCAACCAAGCATAGAAATGAATACAATATGGGAACCAGTAATAAGGAGTGCCAGAGAATAGCAATAATAACAAACATTGCAATATAAGCTCTGGTAAAAACATAAATGATAACATCAAAAATTGCAATATGAGCACTGGTAAAAAAATGGTTGCTGAAGACAGGTTTATAATACCCAGAAATTCGTACACAGATGTCCTCAAGGACACATGGCACAATGACAGGACCCAAAGAGTGTGAGTTCAATAACTTGTTCAGGCAGTAGAGAACTTTCAGATGGGAATTAACAGGAGATAACTGATAACTGGCATGTGGAACAAACACCTGAAGAAGGCCAGAGCGTACAACGGCTGAAACATTGTGATAAATATGGTGACAAAGATGAGGACAATAGTTCGAATAATGTAAATAGTGTACATAATACCATATCTCAGAAATATAGACAGATACTGAAGAAAAATAAAATATACTTTTATGCATGCACGAGTCTATGATGTTCAATTAAAATAAGTCAACACTTTGTTGTGTGTTTTTACACTACTGATATGAGTGTGTGTACATTGTATAGAAAATATTTATGGGCTCCTGTAACATTTGTCCCACAAACATTATTGGCGGTGAGTCCAGGTAAAAATAAGAAAAAACACAAAATATTGAATTTAAAACAAACAGCAATTATATGCATGTAGTAACAAAAGTAATCGCATGTGTGCACAAATGAAATGAAAGCTAAAGACACTGAAACTAGCTATTAGAATGTGCTTGTTTGTGTGTGCATGTGCATGTATGAAATATGCATATGTGATAGACATGTGTGAATGTGCTTGTGTGAGTGAGTTCAAAAGTCAACAGAGGACCAAAGAAGTGAATTTTTTTTTGACAATGTTTTTCATCTGTGCTTGACTATATCTGGAAGCAAGAGTTAAAAAGCAGAGAGAGAGAATATGCTTGCTTTTTTAGAGACTTGAAGAGTGTACCCTAATGAGTTCTTTTTAGCAGATCTGAAAAGAAAGAAAACCTTAAAATCTAGCGATTGTGTGAAAGAGTTCAGTTGCCAAAGTAAAGATATCCCAAACGGAATGACAAGTTCTATGTTGGTGTTGTTAATTACCGCAGGCTAAAAAAAAACAGGAGAAAAAGAAGTGTCCTGTTTTTATAGCTGTTTAAAAATGCCACCAAACAGCATCTTGGAAAACTAAGTAGAGGTAATACCACAGTATATATATATATATATATATATATATATTGTTCAGACTGTTGTCTGCATCTTTATTGCCATATTCACAACATTTCGGCCTTTGTACACTCTGGCCTTCTTCAGGAGATTGGAATTTTGAACTGAACCTTTTATTTTGTCCACTGAGGTAGATTGCTCAAGTTCCACATGCCATGACTCCTCCATATGTCTCAGTTATCTCCATTTGACTCAACTCTGCAATTTTTTGTTCATCACTCATCAGGTATTGAGCTCACAACACTTTGGGTCAAGTCACTGGATCATATGTTCTTGAAGAGGTCTCATATATATATATATATATATATATATATATATATATATATATATATATATAGGTTGCGATGGATAAATTGTCATCTATATTATGCAAAATGAAAATAACACTGAGATCTGATTTTAACAGACAAAATTACACAAAAATGTCTAGATAATACTGAAGAGGAAAGTTATTCCATAAAACCGTTATTGGCTTCAACCATAGCCTCCAAAGGACTTTGGAATCTCCTGCAACTCTTCTGAATGGTCTCCTTGTTTAAGTTGGTGTCATAATCCTTGCCTTCAATTCATATTTTTGATGATAGCGACAATTTACCCATCGAAATTTTGTGTGTGTGTGTGTGTGTGTGTATATATATATATATATATATATATATATATATATATATATATATATAAACGAAACATTTCATCTTTTGGAAGGGCTCTGGTGAAATAAATTATTACAATGGAACCTTAAAGTGGTCTGTTTTTCTTTAAAATTTTAACTCTGGATTTACATTGAGCTCTCGGGATTTCATCCTCTTTGGGACTACCCATATAGATTACCAAGTTTTTCATAACTTATATATATATATATATATATATATATGTACACGCACACACAGAGAGATTTATATCAAATTTGCTATATTTATAGAAGATGCTTAATACAGGAGATAGAGCATTTATCAATAGAGACAGTCTGGATATGGGATATATATATATATGTTTCATGCCTCATTATACTCTTCAGGCCAAGTTTGAAGATTTAATTCAAGCATGAAACTGAAAATCCCTAATATAACATTGATTCCCATATATATATATATATATCTTTGTGCCAGGATGTGGTTAATAAAGCTTCTGCTTACAATACTGCCAATATTTAATGATAATGCCTGAAGAGGTCAAAAGTTCTTGAACAAAAGCATGAATATTGGACAGTTTTATCCACAACTTTCATCTGGATGTGCAACAACAAATTTGAAAAACTTGGAAGATGCAATAAAAAATTAACCAGAAAGTCTTGTTAGTTGAATATAGTAAAAGTGGTTTAAATGAATTCTTGATGCCAAAATACATACATACATACATACATATATATATACCTATGCATACACATGCATCATGTCCTATCTTGCAATTTTACTTCCTTGAACAAAAATATTCACATCAAGAATGCATATACACAAACACACACGTGGACACCTCAAGGTGGTGTAATGGTTAGCAAGCTTGTCTCGCTAGAACAATTACAACTGAGTAGTGAGTTCGATCCTCACTGGGTGCCTCTTACTTTTGGCCTTGTGCCACATCCAAGCTATGCTTGGAAAATCATTACACAAACACACACATACTTTCATACACACACATATATATATATATATATATATATATATATATACACACACACACAAATATATAAACACATATTTTCATATACATATATACACACAAACATCCACATATATTTTCACATTCATGTATACACATAAATACATATACACAAACAAACACACACCTATTTTCATATACATATATACACACAAAGGTATATACATAAACACATATTTTAATATATATGTATACATGTAAATGCATATACATAAGCACATATATTTTTATATACATGTATACACACAAATACATAAACAAGTATATTTTCATATACATGTATATGCACAAATACATAAACACATATCCATGTATATACAAATGCATATACACAAACACACACAGACATATTTTCATATGCATGTATACACATAAATACATACACATATTTCCTGTTCTACAATTTTACTTCTTCACAGAAAAACCACATTCACATCAAGAATCTATATGTATATTTTTATATACATATATGCACACAAATACATACACATTATATTTTCACAAATCCATATAAATAAACACATATATTTCCATATACAGACAAATACATGGACACATATTTTCATATACATGTATATACAAATGCATATACACAAACATACGCATAATTTCATATTCATGTTTGTACAAATATATATACACAAACACACAGAGACATATTTTCATACATATGTATACACATAAATACATACACACATTTCCTGTTCTACAATTTTACTTCTTCACAGAAAAACCACATTCACATCAAGAATCTGGATGTATATTTTTATATACATATATGCACACAAATACATACACATACATATTTTCATATACATGTATACAGACAAATACATATATACAAACACAGACGTGCACACATTATATATTTCCTGTTCTGCAATTTTACCTCCTCGTAGAAAAACAATATTCACATCAAGAATTTACATCTTTGTGCTTATCTTTTAATATTTCAGCACTTATAAATACATAAATTCTAAAATAATCAGCCATAACACTTGGGTTTTTTTTCTGTTTTTTTTTTTTTTTTTTTTTTTAATCAGATTCAATTTCCATATTTGGCTTTTTCTTAACAAAGTCTCTTTGCATCTTTGCACTTCAATAGATTTGTTATTATATTTTTTAGACAATTATTTTGACGAGTTTCATTTCCAATTACTTTTTGAAACAACAATCCTTGCTTGAACAAGTTGCTCAATGTTTCTTCGCTCATGTTTTAATCCTAACTTTCCTGAGTCAAATAGATAAAAAAATAAAAATGAAGCAACATGCATGTCATATAAGTGAGAGGCCTGCTTGTTTGGAACTGATACCAAAATAATGCAGTGAAAAATCCTCTTTCCTAATACTTTGAATATTATTATCATGTAACATACTTTCATCCATCAGAAACATCTCCAGAATAATTTTAAATTGGAATTGCTAAAAATTGACAACTTCACTTTTTTTTTTTTAAAACTGTCCACATATTCAGTAAGTAATACACACTTTCCAGCGCAAAGTTAAAAAAAAAAAAATGACCTAAAATCTGTTATTAACCTAGGCAAGAAATAACTTGTTAATTTTAATGTCTCCAAAACAAAACTGTTCTCTATTAATCTTCTGAGAGACCCCTTTCCATCTACCATTAACATGGCTGATGCTAACCTCCAGGAGAGTGACTCCTTGCGTCTTTTTAGACTAACATTCTCTGCTGACATGAAGTGGAAAGATTATATTAAATCAATTGCTAGGTCTGCTGCTAGAAAAGTTGGTTCACCATGTCATGCCAGACAATTTTTTCTCTAGAATATATCTTACATATTTATAAGTTTACCATTTGTCCATGCTTTGAATATTGCTGCCACATATGGTCTGATGTGCCTGCTATATATTTAAAGATTCTTGATAACATCCAAAGAAGAATTTGCAATGTTCTTGATCCTGACCTGGCATCTCATCTTCAATCACTTTCCCATTGCCATAATGTCGTTTCTCTGTACTTTTCTATAAATACTTTCATGGCAATTTTTCTGATAAACTTTCCTCTATGGTACCTATACTTTATGAATTTAAGAACAGTACTAGATTGACGACAAGGTCTCATCATTTTACAGTTGAATTGGTCAAATGTAACTGTATGTTCTATGCTAACAGTTTCTTTTCTCACCTGTGGAAATCACTTCTGGCTTCTGGCTTTTGATCTTCAAAAGTTTAAATGAATCATTATCTTCTGTCTTCTTAATTCCTGTTCTTTTATTATTCTCACTCTTTAACAATTTTTTCTTTATATTTTTTCAAACTCAATAACCTTTTGTGTCATAGTGGCTTTATTACCTTGCCTGAGGGTGCAATGATTTTTTTTTAAAAATCGATGTGTCTTTGTGGGTGATGAATTATTTTCCACCCAACAACCCCTTTTCCTATAAACAAAACACTGTCTCTTGCTACTCGATCACTATTTCAACAGGAAATGTTCTGAGGAGCTACATTCATTAGTTTCCTTAGTTCAGACAGTCACAACTAAGAACTGCCATACAAAATACACAGGATCAAATCATTCTTGTTCCTTTCATATTCTACTGGTAAATAGGATGTTCCCTTCAGACAGCTTCTTCCCAAGAGCTGCTGCTTTGTGAAAGAGACTCCCAAGAGTATACTTCCCTGATCAATAAAATCTTAGCCTCTTCAAATCAAGGTTCAACGATTAAACATCTTTACATATCCTCATAATCTGCACTTTTCAATTCCTCCTCTTATGCCCATAAAACAATCTCATTCAAAAATGCCCGAGAGCATTTATGCCCTAGAGCAACTATTACAAGGCCCTAGAGCCACTCTCTACATTGAGTGGCTCTAGGGCCTTGTATTGGTTGAGCAATAGTAAAATAAACAGAAAAAATGATTTTAATAAATCTCTATTTTAAATTTGTTGAAAACTCTTATTAAAGTTTCAATCATATGAGCCAACATTTTCAAACATTTTATAAAAACTAATTTCTATGGTTTTGTCATCTACATATGAATAATTTCATAATCATGTTAAAATTTGCTCTATTTATAAAAAAAAAAGACAGTATTGGACAGAGAGTGTTTGAAGATATTAATAGTGTAACAAAGAAATCAACACTGCATAATAATTGTCAATTTCATGTCATAAGCGATCATCAAACCATGTGTATAAATAACTTAATGAATATATAAATGAATAAAAAGCACAGCTTTATTATTTATGAGGGGGTGCAGAAAAGTTTTCCGTCCATTTTAAGGACCAAATAACAGAAGACAGGATTTGAGCAGTGGGGAGAGAAGAAAACTTTTTGACACACGTTTGTATAAATAAATAATTTATTACATATTTACATAAGTATTTAGCTATTCAATTATAATAAAATAATTTTATAATATTGATAAATCATATGATATATTGATAAATTATAATATTGATAAAATGATTCGATTTATATTGATTTAGATTATAACCAATGTATTAAAGTTTAAAGGATTTTCTCAGCTCAACACACCTGCAATAACAATAATGATTTTTTTCTAAATGGAAGTAGTGCGGCTCAAGGGGAGAGGGGGTTAAGTGAAGGTAGTATGAGAAAGAAAGAGCAAATAATGAAGTGAGAGAAAGAGAGAGAGAGATAAATGAATGGGATGAGAGGGAGTAAGATAAATAGAGTAGGATAAAAAGAGGGTGAGGGGAATGGGATGAGAAAAAGAGGGTGAAGTGAATGGAATGAGAGGGTGTGATGATTAGAGTGAGAGTGGGTGAGGTGAATGGAGTGAGACAGTGGGTGAGGTGAATGGAGTGAGACAGTGGGTGAGGTGAATGGAGTGAGACAGTGGGTGAGGTGAATGGAGTGAGATAGTGGGTGAGGTGAATGGAGTGAGATAGTGGGTGAGGTGAATGGAGTGAGATAGTGGGTGAGGTGAATGGAGTGACAGAGTGGGTGAGGTGAATGGAGTGGGATAGAGAGTGAGATGAATAGAGTGACAGAGTGGGTGAGGTGAATAGTGAGATAGAGGGTGAAGTGAATGGAGTGAGATAGAGGGTGAGGTGAATGGAGTGAGATACAGGGTGAGGTGAATGGAGTGAGATAGAGGGTGAGGTGAATGGAGTGAGATAGTGGGTGAGGTGAATGGATGTGAGATAGTGGGTGAGGTGAATGGATTGGGATAGAGGTGAGATGAATAGAGTGATAGAGTGGGTGAGGTGAATTAGTGAGATAGTGGGTGAGGTGAATGGAGTGAGATAGTGGGTGAGGTGAATGGAGTGAGATAGTGGGTGAGGTGAATGGAGTGGGATAGAGAGTGAGATGAATAGAGTGACAGAGTGGGTGAGGTGAATAGTGAGATAGAGGGTGAAGTGAATGGAGTGAGATAGAGGGTGAGGTGAATGGAGTGAGATAGAGGGTGAGGTGAATGGACTGAGATAGAGGGTGAGGTGAATGGACTGAGATACAGGGTGAGGTGAATGGAGTGAGATAGTGGGTGAGGTGAATGGAGTGAGATAGTGGGTGAGGTGAATGGAGTGGGATAGTGGGTGAGGTGAATGGAGTGGGATAGTGGGTGAGGTGAATGGAGTGGGATAGTGGGTGAGATGAATAGAGTGACATAGCGGGTGAGGTGAATAGTGAGATAGAGGGTGAAGTGAATGGAGTGAGATAGAGGGTGAAGTGAATGGAGTGAGATAGAGGGTGAGGTGAATAGACTGAGATACAGGGTGAGGTGAATGGAGTGAGATAGAGGGTGAGGTGAATGGACTGAGATACAGGGTGAAGTGAATGGACTGAGGTAGAGGGTGAAGTGAATGGACTGAGGTAGAGGGTGAAGTGAATGGAGTGAGATAGAGGGTGAAGTGAATGGACTGAGATAGAGGGTGAAGTGAATGGACTGAGATAGAGGGTGAAGTGAATGGACTGAGATAGAGGGTGAAGTGAATGGAGTGAGATAGAGGGTGAAGTGAATGGAGTGAGATAGAGGGTGAGATAAAGGGAGTGACAGAGTGGGTGAAGTGAATGAAGTGACAGAGTGGGTGAAGTGAATGAAGTGACAGAGTGGGTGTGGTGAATGAAGTGACAGAGTGGGTGTGGTGAATGAAGTGACAGATGGGTGTGGTGAATGAGATAGAGGGTGAGGTGAATGGAGTGACAGAGTGGGTGAGATGAATGGAGTGATATGGAGGGGGTGATGAATGAAGTAAGATAGCGAGTGAGGTGAATGGAGTGAGATAAAGTGTGAAGTGAATGGGTTGATAGAGAGAGCGAGAGAGTGAGAGGAATTGCTGTGAAAGAGAGTGATGAATGGAATGAGATAAATTAAGAGAATGAGATAAAGGGCATGGAATAGAAATGGATGAAGGAGGAAGGACGAAAGTGAGGTGAATGGAATGAGACAGAAGGTGAGGTGAATGGAGTTAAACAAAAAGAGGGTGAGGGAAATGAATGAGAGGGCGAGATGAAGATGACAAGACAAAGGAAGAGTAGCATGATATAAAATAAGAATGAGCTAGAGAGTGAGATAAAGAGAGAGTTAGTGAGATGAATGTGGTGAGACAGACAGAAATTAAGAGACTCAGCAACCGACAGATGATGAGGGTGGCTATGCTGATGACATAGATAATCATATTTGAGATAAGAATGATCTTGAACCATAAATCAACATTCTCTACCATTTATTAAAAATAAACCTTTCCAAAACAGAAACTATGATCTGGAATTAGAATGAAAGCTGGGATGGCACCTACTCTAAATCCATCATAAAAATTCAGAATGTAGAATAAGTAAATGCTAAACATTTCAAATAACTCGTATGGATCAGTTATAACAAATTTAGCATAGGCGATAAGGAAATTGAATATAGAATAGACTGTGCTTGAGGACGTTTTACTCAACACTGCAAAATACTTTCTTACTTCATTTTTATGTGCCATGTCGTTTCAGGACGTAAGTGATCATGGCTCTCCACCTCCCTCTATCCTTTGCAGCTCTCAACAAGTTCTTTCCATCTGCTTCCTCCTTCAGACCACATTCAGTCATCCACCTGCTCAAGCTTGCCAGGTATGTCACATGCTGCTTTTCCTTGTGTCTCTTTCCATCTGTTCGACCTGTGAGTATCAGATTCTCCAGGTCCTCCTTCCTCATTATACATCCTAGAAACTTCAACAGCCTCTTCCTTCTCTAATACCTCATCGTTGATCACACATTCAGTCCATGATATCCTTAACATCCTTCTGTAGAACCACATCTCCGTTACCTCAAGTCTCTTCTTCATCTTTGAGGAAATTGTCCAACATTCGCTACTGTAAAGAAGAACAGATGTCATCTAATAGCTCAGTATTTTTTTCTTTGTTACCAAAGAAATCCTCCCGTCTTGCAATAATCTGCCCAGTTTTTGGAATGTGTCCTTGGCCATCCCAATACGTCTACAGATCTCAGTGTTGCACGTACTGTCGTCTGTCAAGACACTTCCCAGATATTTAGTCTTCCATGACTGCTTGATTCTACAAAACTAAAACATTAGCCTAAAACTTGAGTCATGTTCTTAAATAGCCTCATCAGATGGAGACTTGCATATGAATTTTAGATATGCATTTTTTGTTTAACTGTACACATTTTCTCAGATCAATGGTTAAATATAGCTTTGAGTGAATGGAGACTGCAGGTCTTAGTGAGGGCAATCCTTCTTCAAACCTTATGAACTGGTGCTACAGAACCACAAACAACTATACCAAATAACAGAAACCATATCAGTTGAGGACTTTCAACAGAAGCTAAAACTAAAATATGGCATATAATTCTAAGAGAAAATAATCAACATGTTGACGTTCCACACTAGTTCAAACAAAAGGTTAGGAAGGGAATCTCCATCAATACTGGAAAGAGTTATAACAGCTACTGGACTTGAGAAACCTATTTTCAAGAAAAACTGTTTTAAAAGAATGATTTTATAAATTTTAACTAACAAGGAGCACCAGCTGCTTTGTCAATGAATGCTGAATGTTTCCTGATAAGGAAACGACTAAAATTACCATATATCAGTGTTTCTCCACCATTTTTAGCAATAGAACACCTTGAAGAAAATGAAAATAACACAACACACAAAGCAAAATTTTTAAAGAGTATTTTAAAAAATGAATATTAAAACAAAGTATTTAAAATAACATATTCGAAGAATAATGAAAAGAATTATTTGAAACAAAGTTTAATACTTATTCATTTATTCAAATACTAATGCCGTACCATTACTACTTAGACAGACATATATATATATATATATACAGAGATAATATTTTACAGCACACTAGTGTAAAGTGGAATGGCAGTTGAGAATCACTGCCATATATATATTCCAAAGAAAACTGAATCACTAAAAAATTAAAGGTTGTGATACTTCCAAATACCTCTCCCTCCAGTCCCCTGGTTAATAACATAAATAAAAAAACTAAATAGAAGTTTATAAAAAAAAAAAAAAACGGAAACATTTTTAAATTTATTTTTGTTTTTGAAACAATACCCAGGAATTGCTGAATGTGTTAAGAATTAAACAAACAAACTGATACACATTCTCCAAAAATGCCTCTCCCCATATTCAGAAACCATTTTGTCTGAGTTATTAGCAATGATTTAACATACACATGTATATATACACGAATGGCATTAATTATTTATACTGTACTAAACACTTGCTTTCTAAAAGGAGGACCATGTTAATACATACTTTCTCTTTACCTTCTCTACTTATACTCTTTTTTTAAAATGGTTATTCAAGCATGAAATCATAATATTTGTTTATATTACTTTACACTGAGCTGAAATCATGATCTTTGCAGGTTCATTTTTTTTTCATTTCAAAAACAGCTTTCTCTATTCATGTTGCAGAGGGAGGTCCCTGTGGCACAATTTGCCAGAGACATTCAAAATCAGATGTTTCCGTTTTTACAAGAGATGTATATCTTCAGGTATTAGTCAAAAGTCATACGTATACTTATATGTAGCAACTTGGAAGGAGAAATTGGCGGGCCGAGTTCAAATTCTGGTCAAGTCTCTCACATTTATTTTGGCGTAAAATCCTTTGTAGAGTTCTGAATCCATATCATCTCCTCCCCAGATAATAAAAAGCAAGGAAGAGCAGGATTCTTATACCCTGAGGGATGCAGGTTCAATTCCTGCCAAGGGGCACAAATTTTTCTTTAATAAGATTTCTTGAACATTCAGGTTGGTAGTTGAAAATAAATAAATATACTGTTTAATATATAAAAACAGAGCTTCTACTCAAAGAGAGGTATCTACAGTCTTAGTAGATTTCTTATGCTAACACCATTACTTTATAAATATTGGCATTATAGTCATAAAAAGGAACTTTTGTTGTGCAGGTACGCAGTAATTTCCTGAGAATATTAGGTTTGATGGATGAAGGTGGAATTGAATTATGTTTATAAACAGTGTTACAGATTATTATATCGATGGTTTCATTGACAGACATGCTTTTGAAGAGATTTTCTACATCAAGTGAGGCTAAAATGCCTTGGTTTGGTTGAGTTGTTGCATGGATTTGGAAAGATTGATGAGTAAATGTGATACTATATTTGGTAGGTAGATATAGACTAATAATATCATTGATGAATTTTAATAACTGATAAATAACTGTTGGGATCTGTGAAATGATGGGTTGTAGTGGATATCCAGATTTATACATTTTAATATTTCCCTAAAGGTATCCTGGGTGGTAATCTCCAATGATTTTGTTGACTTTCAAGGATCATCAGCATTGTTTGATGTTATAAGTCTCAGTGGCATTTTTATTTAATTTAGGAAATTTAGACCAATCATCAATGATGTGTTGTTATTTTCTATAATATTTCAGTTTATCCAAAATTATATATATATATATATATATATATATATATATCTTAGCTTTATCATCTCTTCTGATGACAACATTAGATTTTTTTTTAAATTATTTTGCAGCTGTTTTAAGTTTTTGTTGTTAGAATATTGTTATAATTATTGCAAGGAGTGTGATCTTTTAGCCCTTCTGCATTGAGAAGTTTTCGTGGGTTTGGATGGAGTTTTATTAATTGCTTAGCTTCAAGTTTGGGTAGTGACTGGTGTAGAATTTCAGTTTCAGTCTTTTTGAGAAGGTTAAATTTGGGCTGAAGATGGCAATTTGGTCTTAGATTTAAGAATTGCTTCTGGTCATCATTTCTGACCAGATAGGTTTATATATTTATCAATGCTATTGGTAATTTAAATGTTTCTTTGGTATAAGTGGTAAAGCTTTTTAGTAATGACTTGTCTGTGCTTAAGTTTGTCATTATTAATACTCAGGATATTATGGTACTGTGCTTCCTTATATCTGGGTTCAGTCAAGATGTTATTTGTTGTAGAACAAGGGTTTTCTAAATGTTGTGCTGTTACTTTACTTGTTGGCTGCTGGGTCATCTAATTTAATAATTGTGTATTAGGGCAGCAATCCCTCTTTTATACAATTTTTATTAAAGATGGTTGACAAGGTACTGCAATTAAGCTTTTTCATCAATTTTTCTTGCATTTTTACAAGAATTTTCTTTTCTGGACATAAAGTGGGTAAAAACTGTCTGAATGTTCCATATATCTAAGCACTTTTGATTACTTTATTAGCCATTATCAAGGCAATTTTTAACTGAAGATGTAGATTATATATATCTATATAATAAATGCCAATATCAGTGTGTCACAGTGTACACCTTTTTAATTAAAGGGACACAACTTTCAATAGCTTATCTTCTTCTATATAATAAATGGCAATGTCAGTGTGTCACACTTTTACAATTAAAGGGACACAATTCCCTAACTTTCAATAGCTTATGTTACACAGAGTTTAGATTCACAAGTTTTCATTACTATGATTGTTTCCGGCGATTTTTAAATGATTTTTTGCGAAAAAGTTTTTTGTATGATAGCAATTTTTATAACTTTGATATAAATTTGGGATTAACTGAAATTAATCATGAAATCCAGCAAAATTCACACATGAAATAAAAATAATTGTTTGTAGAGAAATTAAAGACCTATGCACATAAGACTGTCTTTAAATTAAGTGGCGGCAAAAGAATTATCATTGAACTTTTAAAAGGTAAGATTAAATATTAATGCAATACTTAAATGCAGCAATCAAATTGGACTTGTGTAGTTTATTGTCACTTATTACATACAGCAGCAGTATGCCTCACAAAAAGAAATTTCTGCCAACAGATTGCAATCAAAGGAGCCAAGGCTGCAGCAAGGAAAAGAAAGTCCCAGGCAAATGAGAACTCAGATCAAATAGCAACCAGAAGAGCTACCAATGCTGTGAATATGCAAAATCTTAGGGACTCTGAAACTCCTGAACAAGCTGAAGGACCAGTCAATAGACCTCCACAGGAGCTAGCTTAAATACAACCTGATAGGCCAGCTTTTTATATATATATATATATATATATATATATATATATATATATATGTGTGTGTGTGTGTGTGTGTATCTATAGTGATGTGAATGATCTTTATTTTCCAAACATGGGAAAGCACATTGTGGCAGTGTTCATAGTTGATATCATTGAGTATTGTCTTTTTTTCATTTTCTATTAATGCTTCCATTATTTTT